ACCACCAATTTTACAAAAGAAACCAAACCTACTTTTAATTCTTTTATGCCCAATGCCAGTGGCTTTTATAAATGTAAAAGATGCATTGTATGCAAAAACACAGACCCCTCCGTCCCTTCCAAAACCACCAGTTTTAAATCTAATATCACCAACAAAACTTATAAAATTAAAGATTTTATCAGTTGCGATACCAAAAATTTAATCTACTTGTTGGAGTGCCCTTGTGGTCTCCAGTATGTAGGGATGACCACAAGAAGTCTTAAAGTGAGACTGAGTGAACACTGTAGAAATATCAAAAAAGGCTACCTGAATCACTCAGTCTCCAAACACTTTTGTACACATAACAACGACAAAAGACACCTTAAATGCATCGGCATAAAAAAATGTATAATACCATGGAGAGGTGGTAACATTAAGAACATATTAGGTAAAGCTGAGATGGAATGGGTTTTTAATCTCAAAACTCTTACCCCATCTGGTTTAAATGTTGATTTTGACCTGTTTAATTTTATTTAAATTCCTATATACAACCCTTATCTACATGCTTTTATTCTTTATGTCTGGACCTAACCAGCCCTCATAATAATAATCTTTTAATTTTTAATTTTTCATCTATGCATTTCCATTTATGTATCTTGTATTCTGTGTTATCTTTTATTTAATTTTATTTAATTTTATTTTTATTTTAATTTTATCTATTATTTTCATTTAACATCTGTAATATATTATTACTCTGGTGTATAATATAACCCCTATTTAAATAATTATGTTTGGGATTATATTACCCCCTTTTCATGCATACTCCATTTACATATATCTCTGTATCTCTGTACCTTTAAACCATCTACTTATGTGTTTTGTTTTGTTTTTTATGAACTTTAATCAAACACCTTTTTTTTTTTAACTTTAATCAAACAACTTTTTTTTTTGAACTTTAATCAAACAACTTTTTTTTTTTAACTTTAATCAAACAACTTTTTTTTTTCTTTCCCTTTTGAAAAACAACTTTCTCACCCTCGTTTTCACATTTAAATAATTTAAATGGACTCATCACCTTTATAACATCACTCCCATACTCTTGAATCCTAATTTTGAAAAGTGATTTTAAAAATTGTCTCTGATTGTCCAATTACACTTTTGGCGCAATTTTCAAATTAACATAGCCCTATTTAAACAACCCCTGCCAGGTTACTACTTTTATCCCATTCTGAAGAAGCCACTTATGGTGAAACGCGTTTATGGTTATTAATTCTGTATTTTAGATCAATAAAAGTTTTTTGGCTACTTTATTGTACCAATCCTCTTTTTATTGCACTCTTTATGCACTTTAAACAACTTTTTTTACCTATTCCTGGCATTTTAACCTTTCCTGGTTACTTTTACTTCCACTGGCAATTTTAAGTTCCAGTACTCCAAGAAATCCTAGGTGGGGATCATACCACCAGCGCCTATCCATAGAGCAGTACCTCTGCTCTATCTTTGTGAGTATTATTTTATTTTCTCTACTACTCTCTTAACCTATCACAATTGAGAGCACTATTGCTGCTTTTATTCTTCTATATTGGAGCCTTGGATCACCAGACGGTGCTGACGGACGTATCGCCGCTACATATCCTATAAGCGGGGATTATACCGCTGTACGCTATCCACACCAGAGCTGGCCATAGCTCCCTCAAATGTGAGTTTTTTACCTCTTCTTATCTGCTCATTGAACCACATCAAAATTGAGAGCACTATTGTTGCTTTCTGTCTTTCTTTTCCGAGTTCTGGACTACCAGACGGTGTTGACGGAGACCCCCTCCCTACATATCCCATAAGCGGGGATTATACCGCTGTACGCAATCCACACCAGAGCTGGCCATAGCTCTCTTGAATGTAAGTTCTTTACTTTTTGTTACCTATCACACCCTGAACTTTCATACTATACCATTAGTCGCCTCTACCTCTCTTGTATTTACATATACGGAACGGTCTACACTAGATGCATCCACAGAGGAACTCTATCAAGTATCCTAGTACATCTATTGGCACCCTAGCAATACTTTACTGGACTATCTACCCTTATTTGGCGCAGCCCTTCCATATCTTTTTGTAGTTTGAATTTAAAACCTGCGAAGATGCTTGGAAATTGCACATAGGCCCAGCGTCAAAATTCAACGTTCGGTAAAAACTGATATGGCTTGGTCTCCTATATGACACTGTAGCTTCATGAAATAGTGCCAAAGACATTCATTGGGGGTGTCTTTTTACTCAGAAGACTTAGCTGAGCATACTTTGGGGGGTTTGAACTTAGTGGCACATATGAAATATACAAAAGGCCCAGCAAAAATGCAACCCATATGTAAAAAAAATGCACAAAATTATTTTTTACCACATACTTTGGCATATATTGGTGAAAAAATGGGGGCCTGTTAAGGTACAATATGCACCTTATGAGATACCCTGGAGTGTCTACTTTTACAAATGGTAGGCCTTTGTGGGGGGTTTTTGAACAGTCAAACAACTATAATACCCCAAATGGAAGCAAAGGCTCATTAAATCCATCTCTCAAAATTCTACTGTGAATACTGAAAAGTACAGGTATCCTATATGGCATTGTAACTTCACAAAATAGTGCCAAAGACATACAATGTCATTTTACTCAGCAGATGTAACTGAATACAAAATAAAACTTTGTACAGGAATAGCACACACCAACTTTACAAAATACACATGAGAATTTCTTTGTGTGCCAAAAACAAAAAAAACCCCACAATTTTACTCCAATATTTAGCAGAGGTTGGCGGTGAAATGGCTACTTAGAAAGTGTCAAAACAACCTTAGGTAAATAGCCCGTGATGTCTACTTTATATAAATATATACTTTTGTGTGGCAATTTTGTTTTCTTTTATGACTATTAAGCTTACAAGACAAACATACCAAATTCTAAGATCGCTCCACATTAAAAGTCTATTTTACTCCTTGTGCTTTGTGACCTGTAACTACCAAAAAAACTTAAAATCCCAGACACATTATATATTCTGTAAATCAGAACAACTAAATTAATTTATTTTTAATTACTTTCCTTAACCTGCACTAATTATGCACACATTATTATTGCAAAATCTGTAAAAAAAAAAACACATTTTTTATTTTTTTTGCATTTTTCTGTGTTTTTTTTTAAATAATAATATATATATATATATATATATATATATATATATATATATATATATATATATATATATGTTACATCAAATTAAAGCCCTTTTTGTCCTTTAAAAAACGGTACATAATATGTGTCGGTGCAATAAATTAGTAAAATGCAAATTGCAGTTGAACGTAAACAGCAAAAAATACTGTTGTCATTAAGTGAAAGACACACTTCTGAAGCTCTGTCCTTAAAGGGTTAATTAGGTTTCTGTCTGGTTAGGGATAGGGAGGAGCTACCCATTTTTGTGCTGCCATGGATATGGCCAGGAAAGTGCATTGCAAAAGTAATCACTCCCTACTGCACATATTCAAATAAATTTTATAAGATTTTTTTGCCATTTTTATTTTACAAAATCAACTCAACTCCTGCTAAAGAGTGTTTGAGAAATTGTTCACCTTTTACCAACAAAAACCAAACAACTAAGTACAAGTTTTAACCCCTTCAGGATCGGACTGTTTTGCGATGTTTGTACGTTAAGGACCAGAGCTATTTTAACACTTTTGTGGTGTTTGTGTTTAGCTGTAATTTTCCGCTCTCATTTAAAGTTCCGATACAAATTATATATTGTTTTTTTCAGGACAAAAAGGGCTTTCTTTACATACTATTATTTTTATCATGTCATATAATTTGACTTTTACTTAAAAAAATATTTTACTGATCTACAGAATCGAATGAAACAAACTGCTAAATAGATTCAAAATTTTGTCCTGAGTTTAAAAACACACAATGTTTATGTGTTTTTTTGCTTTTATTTGCAAGTTATAGGGCTATAAGTACAAGTAGGAAATTGCTGTTTGAAAATGTACATTTTTCAAATGTATCAATAGTGACATTGTAACACTGTTATGTCAGAAATCTGCAAAAAAACACCCCACCTGTATATATTTTTCTTAAACTAGATAACCCAGGGTATTCATCTAAGAATATTTTGATACTTTCTATGCAACCATTTTACCACAAACCTTTGCCAAACTTTGCATAGGTAGTTTATTTTTTTCACATACATTGCAATTCAGGTATAAATTCACAGATTCTGTTATGTGTCACTGCCAAACAACACCCCAATATGTGTTCAGATATCCCCCATGTATAGGTGTGTCGGGTTGTTGGGGGGGCTAAAAGGCCACATTTGGCAGGTGCGCATATCAGTTTCCCAGCTTGGAATTATGACATGTAGTCAACCTACATACATGTCCTATTTGGGACATTTTTTAAGCCTGCCAATGTATTTTACCCCCATCAAACCATACATTTTTGAAAAGTAAACACCCTTGGGTATTTCACATGGTGGTATTTTAACACTTTACATGCACTAATTCTACCACCAGGCTTTGTCAAACATTTGGGTAGTAATCTTTTTTTGTTTCTTTGTCACACACCTTGTACTTTAGGCATGAATTAACAGATCCTGTTAGGTGTCACTGCCAAACAACACCCCAATATGTGTTCAGCAATATCTCCCAAGTACAGGGATACCCCCCATGTATAGGTGTGTTGGGTTGTTTGGGGGCTAAAAGGCCACATTTTGCAGTTGCGCATATCAGTTTCCCAGCTTGGAATTTTGACATGTAGTCAACCTGCGCCCATGTCCCATTTGAGCCAATGTATTTTACCCCCATCAAACCATATATTTTTGAAAAGTAAACAACCCAGGGTATTTTAAATGGTGGTATTTTAACACTTTTCATGCACTGAATTCTACCACCAGCCTTTGTCAAACTTTTGGGTAGTAATTAGTGATGTCCCGAACGGTTCGCCGCGGACGGCGAACATATGCGGTAAACTTTGGCCCTGTACCTCACAGTCAGCAGACACATTCCAGCCAATCAGCAGCAGACCCTCCCTCCCAGACCCTCTCACCTCCTGGACAGCATCCATTTTACATTCATTGTGAAGCTGCATTCTTAGTGAGCTGTCCAGGAGGTGGGAGGGTCTGGGAGGGAGGGTCTGCTGCTGATTGGCTGGACTGTGTCTGCTGACTGTGAGGTACAGGGTCAAACTTTACCGCATATGTTCGCCGTCCGCGGCGAACCGTTCGGCGAACCGTTCGAGACATCACTAGTAGTAATCTTTTTTTGTTTCTTTGTCACACACATTGTACTTTAGGCATGAATTAACAGATCCTGTTATGTGTCACTGCCAAACAGCCAAACACCCCAATATGTTCAGCAACATCTCCCAAGTACAGTGATACCCTCCATGTATAGGGTTGCTGGGTTGTTTGGGGGCCAAAAGGCAACAATAAGAACTTGTACATGCCAGTATTTCAACTTGATATATAGGTATGCTTGGTCTATCTTCATTTTGATATATTTTTGCACCACCCAGTTAATGTTACCATCATGAAAGTATATATAGTATATATTTTTATAAAGTAGACATCAAAGGTTTTAGAATATGGGGTGTTTTGACTTCTTTCCCCCAACCATTTTGCCCCCCAAAAAAACAGAGAAAGTGTCGTGGTAGTTTTTTAATTCTGTTTTTTTTTTTAATTCTTTATTTTTGAAAGTGCAAGTTTAAACACACAAGCAGGCAGTGTCACAACAACAGCTGCATGCACAGTAGATGAAGACACAGTATAACAGTGGTGTGACGAACTGTAGCAGGTATTGGCACAATTTTAAATTTTATCTTAATTAATACAAGAGCTAGAAGTGAATATATAACAGGTTAGGATATATTAGGTAGTGTAACTTTGCCTGTGCCCCTTTTTTGTGGCTGGTGAACCTACAAGGTCGTGCTATCAACTGTCCCTGTCCTCTTTAGTTGGGGGGTAGGGTTGGGGACAAGCTCTAGGGACGTGTGTGCTATAGCAGCTAGAGGCAATAGTGGTATGTGACATGGTCTTATGGCTCCTTGACTACGGAGTCTGGGGGGGAGGGAAGTATACCTTCCGCAAGGTAGATGTGCGGAGTGTGTGACATTGGCTTAGTGACATCATAGTTATTATGGCTTAGTGATGTTAATATATCTGGCTTCATGAAAAGACAATAATTATTAAAACTAAACAGTAATTAAACCAGGAAAACAGAAAAACAATACGTAGATGTGGGAGCCAAGCCCATCTCCGCCCAACATGTATTAGCACCAGGCTGGTTGTTTCAGCTGCGATATCTCTATATCCGATGGCTGCTCTGTCGATTCAAGTGTCCTGGGGCTGCGCTGACCCCCTTCCCTCTAATGTTGCCTATCCCGCAGGGGTAAAAGCTGGAACATTAGCTACATCCCACTTGTGTGGAGGCCTTGTCTTGGTTCCTGCCTTCTGTCGGATGCCCAGCGCCTGCAAAAATTGTGGAGCCTCCTCCGGTGATGTCAGTAGGTGGTTGTGCCCATCTCGCGTGGCAATGAGTAGCCGTGGGTAGCCCCATTTATATGGTATATCCACTGCTCTCAGTTGTGCCGTGGTTTCTTTTAGGGATGCTCGCCATTGTAGCGTCTGGCGGCTGAGGTCTTGATAAAAGTTCAAGGAAAGGTCCTCAAATGCAAACGGGGTCTGGCCCCTGATGGCTCCTAGAAAGCCCTCCTTGTCTGAGCGGGATTTTAAATTTAGTATGACATCTCTTGCAGAATCAGGTGTGTTTCGTGGGCGTCCCGGAATG